AAGGAAGGAGAGAGAAGAAGAAGGCAGCTATCCAGGTTGACGCGTCCATGGAGGATGTCACCAGGTGATGAGGTGATGGAGAAGTGGTTGAACCAGCCCAAGATGGTAAGTTCGCAGACACGTCCAGAACTGCTAGCGACAGTGCACGGCGTTTTGTGTCGCATAGGGGCACGTTTGAGTATACAGTGATACCGTTTGAGTTAAGAGTTCACCCATACTATTCCAGCAGTTTATGGACCGGGTTTCTGGGTTAATGTGTATCTCGCGTAACGTGAAGGAACTGAGATCGTTCTTCGGTTCGGTTACGTATTTGAAGAAACATATTCCCGGGTTTGCGGGCAAGGTCGGCGGTATGACAAACTTGCTGCAGAAGAATGTGGAGATCGTGTGGAACGAAGAAGGTGAGCAGGAGTTTGAAGGACTGAAAAGGGCAGTGGCTGAATGTGCACTACTCGCCGCTCCGAAGGGCACCGGGGAGTGTTCCGATCGAATTCGGAAGCAATAAACTGGATGAATGCCAGCAGAAGTGGGACACATGAGGAAGTGAGTCACATGCCATAAGGATCTTTGTGGAAGACTTGTGTGTCTCCTTTTTACGAAGGCGCTGAAGATGCCAGGACGCAAGCTCGCGTACATAAGGTACCGAATGGTCTGTGGGTGAGGAATCGGACTGGAAGTGTGTACGCGATTTTACCACTGAACGAACTGGGGCAGCCGCCGGAGGGATCGAGAACCCAACGGTGGATAAAGCGGCGCGGCAATTGGTGATGCACTTGAAACGGGGTCGTGGGCGAGTCGTTGGCTCTGCTCTTACGCTCATGTATAATCCTCTGGGGTCGAAGTCTCTCAGCAGGTATTTCCCTCAGTGGGGAAGGGTTTAGCAAAATCTCAAGACGCCCGACAGGACTTACCGGCTGTCCTGAAACAGTCTCGCGCGCTGTATCGAACAAGCGAAGTTGTCATCACCGTGATAACAACATGCTTACTCCACACCGTGCGCGAGACCGTCTCAGTGCAGCAGAGAAGTGATGAGCCGAGTGGCATCGCAGGGGACCGTGGCAGAAATTATGTGTGTAAGAAACAAACGACGCTGCTTCTGACGGAAGATGACGGGGTGAAACAGCCGAGTGCGTCTCCGAATTTTGCTAGCTAACTAAGACGAACTCGAGTTGGAAGACAAAACTTGTGTCTGGATACTCTATCAGACTGCCCGGAACTGCTAGTGCTCGAGAGCACACCTAATAGAGGCAGCAACCTGACTGGCAAGCCAGCGTCGGTGATGCATTGTGTAAGCGACCAAAGAGTGTGTCATAGATGATCCGTCCTCGGTGGAAAAAAACATGGACGAGCCAACGAATCGCTTTCGGGCAATCATTGAGCCTGGGTCGTTTGTTGGGCTTGTACCCGAGTCCTTGCTTGTTCTTGTGTGCCTGCCGCTTTCGAGTTCCACCAAAATTCCAGGACACACACATCCCTCCGAAAAAATGACTCACTCCAACCAGCAGCACCACGGGCGCCCAGTAGAACCTTAACGAGCGAAACACCCCCCCCCCCTCGTACTCGAGGACGCCAGTCCCGCCGCGGCGGTCGACGTGGTCCTTCGATATGGCCGTATTTCATTATGCAGGTTGTGGCGCGATTGGGCTAATTGGGAGTGTGCTGGTGTAGCGCCGGTTCACGAGAGCTGGGAAATGAACCTCGCTAATATTAGCAGCTTCGCTGACGGCACGCATTGGGCGTGTTTGGAACTGCGGTTTTTTTAGCTGAACTTACGTCACGCATGAGGAGTGGCTGGAAAGAGTGAGGGCCTCGTTGGGACTGAGAGACGGGCAAGCTGCACTTACCACGCGCGTGAGCTGTGGGAGGAAATGAACTCGCAAATACGTGATGCTGCGACAGGGGCTATACTGTCGCCAGTGATAATCGAGAAGCGGGTGATCCATAACACCAAGTTACTCGCGCACCTAGTGACGGTGCGAGGGTGCCCTCCAAACACCCAGTTGCGAAACCCCGCGTTTGGGGAACTCAAGGCGAAAGTGGAGACGTTAACTGACGGCAAGAGCGCGGGCGCGGAATGCCGGCACACAACAGCTGTACGATCTGGAGCTTGATGTCGTCCGTAACGGGCAACTTTTGGGCCCGTTGGTGACGGCCAAAGACCGCTATGGCGGCGCTCCCCACTGTGTTACGGACGGCACCCCGACCGACTGGGTCCGAATTGTCAGAGCATGTTTTTCGAATGCAGTGTACCGACGCTGGAAGAGAAACTGCCGCTTCAAGACTTGTTTGTGAAAGCTGTTGTTACGTGCTACCTACGCGCGCGCGGCAGACCGAGAAATTGTCGGACCGGACCTGCAGGTTTTTTGTGATGCAACAACACGGGGGAGAGCCTCACAAGGGAGAGCCTCACAAGGGAGAGCCCCACGAGGGAGAGCCTCGCGTGGACCTAGGGGAGACGGGTAGACAGCCACTGAGCGCGAGTGAGCTGGAGTATTACGTGGCGGAGTATAAGTGGGTGTGTGCAGTTGGTGGGAGTCGTGAGCGGAGGGCGGAGGCATGTGCTGTGAAGATTTTGCAGAAGCTTGAGCGTGAAGTGATGGAAGGTGGTGTGACAATAGTCTTCAA